TTGGTTCGTGTATTAGGCCGGATGGATGTGTTTAAGTGGTTGTCTCAATTTTGGTCTGTCTGCCTGTCTGTCGGTGGGTTAGTGGGTGAGTGAGTGGGTGGGTGGGTACTATGGGGTGACTGATAACTTTGGAGGAGGCTGTGGGGTATATGCCAGTATGCTGGTACTTTTGATGAATGTATGAGGCTTTTATGGATGGTATTCTTATTCTACTTTCTTTCTTTCCATATGATTTTAGGGTATATTTTTGTATTCTACCACATTGGATACTTTACGAGTAAGGTATAAACATTTATCCACTACCACCACCACAACCCAATCCAACCCATAAGCAATGATGGTAGTGGTGGTGGTGGTGGCTTGATTGCTTATGCCAGCCGTGTGAGTGGTATGGTGTGCCACCACCACCACCACCACCAGCACATGAACGATCCGATATTTCCCCGACAAGCTGCTACTACTTACTACTTACTTACTATCTTCCTGTTTGATCAACATCATGATTGGTAGATCGATAAGGAAAAGCAACCCCATCACATCATCATCACATCTACTTGTATTCCTGTCGCATTGTTTTTTACTTTCTTGGGCTGTCATCATCATCATCCCATAGATAAATCAGTAAGTAGTGATAAGTAGTATCTATTTATATGTATATTATTACCATACATACATATATTTTACAAATACAAGTAATATGTAATGTACCACGTATGTTATATTACACGTATGTAAGTATGTATCAACCTTTCTCATCTCATCTCATCTCATCCATGTCATTTCCATCTCTAAGCGAAGTGCAGTGCACTGCAGGGGTTGAGGAAAAGTGATATCACCAAACCAAACCTAGACTTACTACCTATCCAGATTATCTTTATCTTTTCCAATGTTAGAGTAGAATAGTTAGGTAAGTCATACCCTACTGTTACACTCACTAACTAAATGGTTACTAAGTAACTATAGTTACTAGTAAAGTATTAGTAACCAGATAGGCGACGGATTGACGATCACAACAAAGAATGAGTTAAGTTCCGTCGGCAATCAGACTTATTTTGGGAAATGAGTTGAGTTGACACTTAAGTAGTTAGCATAGAAGTAGCTAACTCTAGACTTTGGATTTGGATTTCCGATTGTTCGATTAAGTGCTAGTAGCTAAGGAAGGATTGTGGAGCCGGCAGTCGTAAGACAATATACTATATCTACTTTAGCTTACTACATACAATCAATTTGTTACTTACTACTTACGGAGAAAGTGAGAAATACTCAAACAGTTGAACATGTAGTATAGCTATTCTTGGATCCAGTTATCCTCAGTCATGTCATATCATCCTGTCATGTCAATTCTAATCCACATTCACATCCATATCCACAATAAACTGCCTACTAACTTATAACTTATAACCGACTAACTAACTAATTGAATAACTTACGGAGTAATTAAATAAAACCACAAGGCAACCCCCGCAGCCTTTCCTTCCATCCTCATCTTTCCCCACAGCCCATCCATCTAGACTCTTTCCTTTCCCTCTTGCTCATCATCCCCAACACGAGATCCATCATCTCACCCAGATGACACACGCAGGAATAGACCTAAGTGGATTTCCAAGCTTAACTAATTAAAACTAACAAAACAACAGACGGTCGATCACAGCCCGTCCATCTATCTGTCAGACTCAGACCAGACCGAAACTTCTTCCCTGTCACACGGAAATGATATCCATATTGACTGTGATTCATTCATTCCTACTTTCTGCAGCAATTCTAACTTCCAACTTCCAAGTTTTTTCTCAACTAATAGATAGATAGATAAGTAAATAAATATCGGACTAAATCCGATCAGGTACAAACATTCCGTCCATACAACGGCATTGAACCGAAAGGATGATTCCTTAGCTTGAAGTTCGAACTTCAATCACAATCAATCTCTACTATCATCATCGTATATCTCCTCCTCCCCCTTCTCCACTTAATTCAATCCCTTTCTGTCTATCTGGCTGGCTGGCGCTTACTCCCGACCGACCGGTCGGTCAATCGCCGCGTTCTCCATTTCTGTCTCCATTGCTATCCCATCGCCATCCCCATCCTATGCTAACCAAACCCAGTTATTGATCAAATCCAGAACCTAACTAACTAACTGGCCAACTAACTAAATAATAATAATAATAATAAATCTAGTCTAGTCTAGTCTAATACAGTACATACTCCCGCCCCCGGGCTAGATTACTTACTGCTACTTTACTAGTTTAGTCCTCTAGTCACACTACACAACAGCAACAAACACACAAAAAACCAGTTTTTCTGTCTTCTCTTGTTCCACACCCCCCTACTACTACTACTACTACTACTACTACTACCGAGTCTCGGATTCTTTATCCCCGAGAATATGATTGATTCAATTAACTAACCTAACTAACTAACTTACCCTTGTTTCTTTCGGGTCGGAGAGCTCCGTCCGGTTCTGCCCGTTGGACATCATATCCTATCTTACCGATCGGATCCGCATTCTTTCTTTCCTATTGTTCTATTCTATGTCTGTCTGTTCTGTATGGAATCAGATACAACAACGACAAAAATAAAAGTTTGATGGACGCGTAAGTATATATAGCCAAGAAAAAAAAACAAAACAAAAGCGATAGCCATTCCTTTTCATGTGGTAAGAGAAAAGAAAATAGTATTACCCAACTTCGCGCATGCATGTATGTACAGTCGATCGAAAAGCGACCAAACGCAGGTGCCAGGTCATCGAATCAATCATAGGTAGTCTTTTGCTTTTCTCTCTCTTCCTTCTCTCATACACGCATTTCTCGCCCTAACTGCGGTAGACTTAGACTTAGACTATCTACTTCGGGCTATGGTGTGTGCGTGTGTGTGGTCTCGTTCGGCCCACCTGCACCTTACCAAAAAGCTCCCTGTCTAGCCGCACCCCCTCCTTCCTCTCTCCCACCATCCTCTTCGTGACTCGTGTATTCCTTCCCACCCCCCAGACCATACCATATGGGCGGCTGGATGGGGGTCGATCAGGCGCTACGACAGTCGTGGGTTAACTAGATAGACTTCAACCCCATGACTGGTTGGTCTTTGCTGCTACAAGCGCCATCGACGTGTGGAGCCTCTTCCCTTCCTTCCTTCGTTCCCTTTTTCCATCCCCCAACCGTTTCAGCCGTCGATCCTTGGCTGACGTTGGTTTGGTAAGTTGGTAGGGGTCTTAAGGAAGCTCCTGACAGGCTAGTAGCTTCCTAGAACAATGGCCCGACAACAATGGGCGCCCCCATGTGTCCCTTTTTCCCCTCCGAGCCGAGCCAAGCCAAGCAACCACTACTTACTTCCTCGGTCCATAGCATCCTTGTCAGCACGGCTTTGTTTCTCTGGTAGGTGCTGATCGACGGCCTACGTCGCGCGCGCCGTCAGCGTCACTGGAAAAGAGTACTCCGAAGGGGGGAAGGCATTATTAAAAGCTTCGGAAATAAGTACATACACCCATGTTCTGTATCCGTGCCCGTCAGCTCGCAGCTGCCCAGCACGTCATTCAGACCCAAAGCGAACGTATAGGCTATGCTGGTATAGAAAAGCAAATTGCATCATTTGCCAAGGTATCAAGAATATGACAAAAATGAAACCTCTTCGCAGCCTTTTGACAGAGGAGGGGCGCAACTCAACCAAAGAAAACATCATAGTCCGCAAAGATCACAAAAGGCGTTATGCCGTAGATGAAGAAAATAAAGAAATAGCAGCGGATGAGGCGTCTGACCAAATTAAGGACTCGTAAATGACAGTCATGATAGGGCATCACTCAAAGCACAAACGCATTGTAACTCCTAGTCTGAAACACTCGCTGTCGAATCATGCAAAGGCACTCGTGGGCTCATTAGCCAACCCCCAGGAAGCCCCAGTCCGTTCCCTCGGGCTGGTTCAGGATGCGGGCCGGCGGCTTGTAGTCACTGTGAGTGCTGGTTACCATCAGCGGTGGGCCTTCCGCTGTGGGTAGGGTATGGTATGGTTGCTGGAACTCCGGTGGCAGATATCCCTGACGGCCAGGATCGTATCGTTGCTGCTGCTGCTGCTGTTGCTGCACAAGCTGCATGTAGTGTTGCTGAGCACGCTGTACGTCAACCGGTGACGTGACAGGGATGTGCTGAGTCACGATTGGTGGCTGTTCTTGTATGGGCACCGGCGTTATGTGTAGGCTCTGGTGGGGATAAAACTCATGAGTCGGCGTCGGAGTATGAGGGTAGTAGGGTTGCTGGGCTAAGAGATACTGTTCATTCGGCACAGGAACGGCGACTGGCCCTTGATATGAGTGCTCGGAAACCGCATCTTCCGAGGGCAGTCGGGTCATGGATCCTGGGGGGTGGGAGCGGTGTTGGTGCTTGGTCAAGGTCGTTTTGCGGCAGAAGCTTCACGTTGTTAGAAAGACATTAGCACGAGAACCAGGCCAATGCTTACGCTCGTTCGCACGTTGGCTCTTGGCAGATATACGGCCTTTTCCCTGTATGGATCCTTCGGTGACGAGCAAGACTCGATGACTGTGGTGGTTAGCAGATAAAAAAGTGGTGAGCTAGTTGTACATACATCACTAAAAGCCTTGTGACATCCTCTGTGGTCACAGACATGAGGCTTCTCTCCGGTATGCGTTCGCGAATGCACTGTCAGTGCACTCCGTTGGATGAAGCTTTTGTTGCAGTCCTTGACCGTACAATGATACGGTCGCTCATTGGTGTGTATCCGATAGTGCCTGCACAGATCTGATTTGCGATTGAAGGACTACTGCCATTAGCACGGAAACTATAACGCCTTCAAGCAAGCGATAGAGTGGAAAGTGAAAAGCGACACTGGGTAAGATTCATACCTTATTACAATGCTCCCAGGTGCAGTTAAAATCTCGTCCACCACCAGGTGCCATGGTGAGGAAATGCAAGTGCAGAATCAAAAGCTATTGAAAGGTGAGTCGCAAGAAGGATAGCGGGGAGTGGGCCGGCTAGCGATAGGAACACAGGGAGCAAACAACGGATTCCAGGAAGATAAGAAGAGATGCAAATACAGGAAAACGAATCTGAAAAGAAGCAGCAAGTGGCAACAAGAACAAAAAGATTTGCAATAAAGTATGAGCAGACAAACACGACAAGAAATCGTACAGGCGACAGAGGGGGGGAGGGAGAAAACGGTTGGAAGTATGGCCCGTAGTAGTAAGAATAGCTATGGTGGAGGGAAAATAGGAGAGCGGGTGGGAGGGGAAAAGAAAGAAGAGGGAAGGAGGTCTGGACAAGCGGAGAGACAGGAATGTCACTGCAAATTAAGTCCGACGGCATGCAGCCTCGACAGTAATCATTGGAGGTCTGGACAGGCAGGTCGATTGGCAGCCAAGTCGCAGGACCGAATGATGGATCAAATGGGGAAGCGCAGTAGTGAAGGTGGATGGATGGAGGTGAGGCTGGCCCTGGAGGTCCAGCATAGCCGACAGGGAGGTATTCCAGACGTACCTAGCAATGGATCTAATAATAATATTCAAGGACGAACACGCAATGCGAAATAAAAAAAAAATTTAACAAGTGACGCGATGACGGAGAGGCGAAAGAGGGAGAGATGTAGAAGAGAAAGTGCAAAGCACGATCCCAACGGATTTCTCAGATGTAGTTCAGTAGTAATAATACTGGTCGGTCCGGGCGAGGTTGCAACGTTTCTGTGATACAAGAGGCAGACAGACAGACACAGACAGCTGCTGCTGCGGGTCTCAGGCGGTTCTCCTTCCAGGTACGCAAGCCAGACCCCAAGTCAAGGGATGATGATGGCTGTTGGAGAAGGAGAAAATAAAATAGAAAAAAGGTCGAAGATGGGGGAGAGAAAAAAGACGAGAAAGTCAAGAACACCTGCTCCAGATGGGGCAGATGGAAAAGAAATACTCGACGAGCCAGATGAGGAGGATTAGTTTACTGCACGAAGAGAGGAAAGAAAAAAAAGAGCTAGCTGACTGGCCGATGGGATGGAAGCTCTTGTTCGTTTTTATTTTCCTCGTTTTGCCTCTCCGGCTCTCGTGAGCAGGCCGTGTAATTTTTATAACGCCGCATCGTTCTGGCTCTACCTAGTAGGTACCTAGCAGCTACTACGGGCTGCTAAGCTCCTTCACTACTGTCCAGCGGTAATCAAATAATAAATTGGAACCTCCTCTTGGTCTCCTCCAGCCGGTGGAGCTCCCCTCTGGCCAGTAACCCGGCCGGGCTAGCTTGAGACTTGGCCACTTTTCTTTTTCCTGTACCCCTACCCCTACCCCGGAAAGATCGGGTTATACTATGTTGAAGTATTTCCTTCGGACCACTTGGGGGATTTTCTTTCACCAGACCGACATGGACACAAATGGAAATCAGAATAATACTAAAAACAAATAAGAAAAGAAGAAAAGAAAAATCCCACACCCAATGCAAAAGTGGAGGTGAACGACGAAGAAGAAAAAGAAGAAATCAAAAGTCAACGTTTTTATTTTCATTTCTATTTTCTTTTTTGTTAAGTATTTCTTTACCCCATCGTTACTGAACATGGGTTTACCATGTTTACCTACTACAATCTACCCTGGAGGTCAGGAGGGAAACACTCGGTATCAAACGAGATATCCAAGTACTAGGTACATAACATACTTACATACATACGGGCACCAAGCAGTGGCACTTAAATTAGGAATCTCTTTTAGACTGACTGACAGGCCAAGGCTATCTGGGTCCCGCTTGTCGATTCGATGTTCTGGAGGGAAAGAGAGAGGGGGGGGGGGGGAAGAAAGAGTGGAAGTTTGGAGCTAGCAACCCCCAGACAAAGTTACTCAAGACCCAAGGTTTCCCATCCTACTGAACCGTCTTCCGGTCAAGATGGCTTGGGGGAAGAGGGGAACACCGATCCCCACCCTGTCCGCTTGTGCCTTAGAACGCTGAAAGGTTAGGATATAGACTCGGCCAATCATCGGCGACCGAGAGAGAGCCTGGCCTTGGAAGAAATCTACTAGTCTAAACATGGTCTAGTTGCCTGCATCCTGGCTGCAAAACCTCGACGGACCGCTAGTATCGCTTACTGTATCGGGATTGTATCGACTATCTTTCGCGGGTCAAAATTACTGACAGGTACCTTGACACGTACGTCCCTGGTACCTTCCTTTTAGGTACTTCCACTAGGTAAGGGTAATCAGTGGTGGTAAGTAGTTGCCCGTCCATGTTTTCAAATTACTTTTTCTTCTAATTAACTCACCCCAAGTCGATGGTGCTGGAAGAGGAGACGGTAGTCCGCCATATAACATTCTGGATAGAACCACGACCGAAGACAATTGCACGGCGCTCCAAAGGAGTCAGAGCTGAGGCGGATCACAGCATGGTCACGCCAATACAACAAGCAGTGTCTACGTATGGGATATTCTGTACGACAGTGAAAAGGGAGGTAGGAGTAGGTATGTGTAAGATGGAAGGTCTGATTAGGTCGTGGGCTAACCGATGGAACTAACTTACTACTTCGTACCTACCCAAAATGATCATAATCTATTCCTACTCTCGTACTGACTCCAAGTATGACTATTACTATGTACATTGTCGTTACTTATTTTTATTTTTGTTTTTCGATTTTATTCATTTAGTTCTTATTTTTCATTGATTTATTTATTTTTCTCGCCAAGGTGCTGGGAAAGGAAATCCCGTCAATCCTTGTACCAAGGTGGTAGGAGCCATGCCCTCCAAACAATTGTTGCTGGAATTAAGTTCCTGACGGCCACTTCTTGACCCCCAACTGATCATGATGTCGGCCGTCCAGCAAAAAAAAAGCATCAACGGAGGGAAGAGACGGAAAGGAAATAAAAGAAAGAGAAGAAAAAAAGTATTGAAAGCCAAATGGGACAAAGAACAATGTCAGACCAGCCGGCCGACCAGGCAGCACAGATCGGAAATTATCAGCAAGGGATACCAGCGATGCAACAACCGAAAAGTGTGGCTTTTCCGTTCTGGGCCGGCAGGCATCATGCTGAAACTGGCCCAGAGCAGCAGCTATCCCCAGGGTCTGCTATCGGCCTCACTCCAAACCACAATCGTCCTACTCACCTTACCTACTTAGGCAGTAGGTCTCCTACTGGCAGTGGCCATGATACCTTCATCCGTTGCTATTGGACGTACTTCTGGGCTATCTTTCTTGGGAGAAACAACGAGGACAACGCCCCCAACGCCACGATATTCTCGGTGGCTCTACGATGCGGCTATTCTACCGATTCGATTGCTGGATGACAGCCAGCCGTAAACTCAAAGGGAGCGATTCATCAAGCCTCTATCAGCTGTTTTGAGTGATATTGACGCCTTTGTTCACTCCACGTGGCGGCTTCAAGAAATTCATCTGGATCGCGGTCTGTAATGCTCCATCAGTGATGGGGCCCCCGACAAGGGACCAGCGGGATTCACTCGTCGTCCCGTTCCCCCTCCTTCCGCCCGTCCACGGCAATATTAATTATTAATATGATACCATGGCAGTCATGGCCATCGGAGCCAATTAAGCTCATGACGATCAGTTGATTTCTCTAAGGCTGGAGCCAAGAGACTGGCGCCAATGCTGTCTGTTCGTCGTTGATAGCGAACTATAGGGGCTGCCTACTTTCCTATTGATTGTGGCCGACTGAACAAGCTCGGGATACACTTCCTCGATAGAATCAGCGGGTGATACATGGATAGATCTTCCATTTACTTTAACCAGGCTCACGGACTGCCGTGAGGCTTTGAACTGTAAGTCGACTAGCACCAGTGGATCTGGAATAGTGGCAGCGGATCGAACCCATGGAACAGGCAGGCCAAAACAATCGCCGCCCGCTTGTTACCAGCAGAGGCCGTTTAATACGCTTACTTAGACTTTGGCCATTCATGGTTTGGACCCTGGAAGCCCGAGACCCATCGCACTTGAAGAGCGGCTAGATACGTACGACATACACGCGAAGATAGCGATTAACAGTCGATAGTGTCTATAGCACGCACTCGATAGATCATCGTCTGCACACGATAGAGTTTCGTCTGGAAGTCCTTCCAGCAAATCGCGGGCTTTGGTCTGCCCGTCGACTCTTCAATTTCCGTCTATCATCTGGGAGGGTTTTTTCGGGGTTTGCACGACCGGGATCTCCGAATTGTTATGGAGCTTATACCACACTAGGCTATTGAGCCACCACTCTGAGTCAGGCACAATCATTTAGTTAACTAGAAGACTACGTACGGACACCGCCTATGGCCAGCCCAGTGAATGCCAAGGGGGCTGTTTCGATCGGGAATTGGCTACCAAGAAATGTACGAGGGGGCAGTATTCGACTGGTAGGGTGTGCTTCCGTTCGATGCTCGTATTGCTTTTTCCTTTAGTTTTCCTCGTCCGGGCGGCACTTCTTGGTTCCAGTTGACTCCCGTAGTGGCGCCATAGGCTTATACTCACTAACATCCGCATCAGTCCATGAGCTAACCCAGCAGGATTATGACTAACTTACTAAACGCGAGTCATCTGAGACTGGGGCAATCCACCAGCAATGACTTGGTCGTCAGCACACAGGGGAGGCAGGGGGGCAGAGCAGATAGGCGTACGTGTAAGCAATCGTGTGTAGTTCCCCGCCCCAACAGGAATTCATGCTAACCGATCCGGTGCTGGCGAGGTGAGCCCAAGCCGAGCCATGAAGGGGGGGGAGGTTTCTCATCCCGTTATCATCCGCGTTTTTCTGGTCTGATCTGATATGACACTAACTATGAGGCAGACAGCGTGCCAACTAGCGACGGGGTGGTTTTTGCGAGTACCCTGCTCGCTATCACGAGGCCGAGGAATTGAATAGATTACAGATGGGCTGGTAATCTACTTGGCCCCTACATGTACCGGGTACATCCACGCAATGCAACGGAGGACAGGGAGGCCTGACTTTGTGACGGTATCGCCGAATGAGCCGTCGAAAAGATGAGCTAGTGGCGGCACCCCCCATATTCCCGGTATACAGGAAGTAGGGTTATCTACATTATAGTCTGGTGCCACCACAGATACATGACAGCTCCTCCAGGTGTCGACCGGCACAGAGAACCTTACTGGACAGACCCGTCAATGAAAGCTCAAAGCTGACAGCTGGTCGCATCACTGGCAATGCGGGAGTGACGCCAGGGCTTGCACCATGCTGTAAGTCGCCGATCCTTAAGACCCAAAGGCTGTAGACGGGCTAATGGCGTGACTTGCATGCGGTCAAATAGGCGAAAAGATTGAAGAGTCTACTCTAGCACCCGGCCGGGGAAAATTGGCCAACGGCGAGGGAAAGAGGAAGGGGGAGAATGGAATTGGGGGGGGGGAGGAATGGACGAAACGAAAACAACGAATCAGCAAGGGACGGGCAATGGATTGACAAGACGAGGGGTAAAAGTGATAAAGAAAGAAAGCAAAAGCGAGGCCGGAAAAGGCAATTTTCGCATAAGGTGATAGCAAGACCTTGATTTGCCATGGAGAGATGGACACTGCTTCTCCGCTTTTTGGGAAGATCTCCCCGGTCAACTGGCGTGGCAGCTAACGAACGGGAAAGGAGGGGAAAAACATCCGGCCTCGAGGGTGTGGAGGAGGAGGAGGAGGAGGAGGAGGAGGAGGGATGGGCATTCGTGCCATACGGACTGGCATGCAGTTGAATCCGTCAACCAGATCGGGGGGAAGACGATGACGATAATGGTGATGATGACGTCGACAGACCAGCTTACAGTCTCCTCCATCAATTTGAGACAACAGCTTCCGTTAGCACTGGGGAAAGGAATCCCAGGCACCTGGTCGGTGGTTCATCCGCCGCGGTAAACCCGTAGTCGCAGACCGGCGGCATCATGTGTCTGAGCGGCTTCTCCTCGCTGGGAACTGAAATTGAACCCTTGTCCCCGGTCGCAATTGACGTAACGCCAGTAGACAAGACACATGGTTAACCGAGCTCGACCGAAATTACGTGGTGGGTTGCTTGTTCCCACCAGGGGTTAGGATATGTGATTCGTGATTCGTGATGCGTAAGCTGGATGAGGGAAGGGGAAGAAAAGAAGACGGGAGGGAGGAGATGAATGAGGGTGGGGTGGAAAGTGTGGGCAGTGCTTTTAGGAATTCATGCATGGCCACGCTACAATTAGTCTAACTACTAACTAACTTATAATACCAGACTAAACAAAGATAGGCTGGAGGAGAGAAGGTTGGCTAGTTAGTAGTATGAAGGGGAGAGGAGAAAGGAACTCCGAGGTGATACACCAGGATGGTTACAAGTCTGGTGAAGTTGATTGAATGATAGTATATCCCGAATAAGGCTGGGCTGTCAGACAGAGGGACCAAAAAAAGAAAATGAGTTAGTAACTAGTAACTAGTAACTACACGTAACGCAACGTAGAAGAAGGAGACGGGAGATCACGACCGAGAGGAAAGTTATGCCCCTTCACTTCCTGGTAAATGGTAACCTCTAGTAATGAACATCCCGGTCTAGTGTTGATGCTGGCAAAGAGGGAAACCGGACGGGTGTCAGATGATCGGGAGGAGATTGAAGGGGAAATGAAATCCTCCAGCCTTGACTCGCTCTCCATCGGGAGCTGCTGCTGGTTGCCTCGTCCTTTTCCTTTTCTACATACCCCGCATTGGGGGAAGATTGTCGCTCGGGAGCATCTTTAGCAAGTCTTTAGCACCGTCTGTCACACGCAACTTCATTCCTGCCTTCATCATCACTACTACTTGCCATCAACCTCGTTTTTATTTTCATTGTGGATGATCCGGAGTAGTGTCACCCCGGCTCGTGGTCTACTAGTATACTAGTATACTAGTCTACGGAGTGAGTACTAGTGACCGACACTTGCTGGGAATCGCACATTAGAAAGAGCAATGGTATGTAACCTTCATCTACTACACTACTATAATTTATACTACTGTTCTACTAGTATATTTAGCAAGGCAGGACTACTCTCGACTTAGCTCCCTCACTAATTCTGTCTAATATCCCTTCTCCTCCACTCATTGCTCATTGCTGCCCATCCGCCTCAGGCCAAGGAAATCAATCGCCCATCCTCCGTCTGTCAGTGTCTCAGTATACTCTACGAAATTGTCGACTTCGGACTTCTCTAGCCCTATCTCCGTCACCGCTGCCTGGTTATCATCTGGGAAAAGGGGAGGGGCGACATGGATGACGCGCAGTAGCAGTAGCCGTGGACAGTTGGGCGCTAATTCCGGCCGGGTGGATGTCGGAAAGAAATTCCAGCTCATCACATCCAGAAATTCGCTGGTGGACTGGCGGAGCTTCGATTTGTCCAACCCTTTTTTCTTGTGTTGCGCCGGTGTTTTAGCGGGCCCATCCGTATACTCCGCTTCCCCATATGAGCAACCGACTAGATTGGACTAATCCATTGCTCACTAACGAGTATCTGTCTGCTCAAAGCATGATGCGCAACGGAGCTATACGCGATGTCGCACCAGGGCATTGCATCCGGCCGCTAGACTACTCCCAACTAACTAATCACGACTAAACTAACTAACCAGGTCGATAGATTACTTAGCCACTAGCCTACTCACCACTAACCTGTTCTTTCCCTGACGATGCTAGACATACATGCGTTCGGCATCTCGAACGATAGGCATCCAATTGCCTAGAAAAATCTCCGATGTGCATACATAACCCCCAATCCCAAGAAAGCAGCGCGCCTGGTCAACGCAAGCTCTGGCCACGCATGCTTTCTGCCAGTGGCCTGCCTGCTCAAACGGCTGCTCTCGGCTCGGCTTCATGGAGGGGGATTAATTTCAATCGCGACATTTTCCAAGCGAATCGCAACCGTAGCTGCCACAGGCGCAGATGATGATTGCACGACCATGTTAGCCTTACGAGATAGCCAAGAACCGGGCAGCGACTCGATCAGCCGGCTTTCAATAACGATGCTAGTTTACTCATGGCTCACCCTCCTTTATTATTTCTGTTGTCTCTTCACCCACACACCCTCCTTCCTTCCCGCGGGCCACCGCTACTATACGGAAGCATCACTAGTCTACTAACATCCATCCATCCACCCCGGCCCCCCGTAAGCCTGAAATAACCCAATAAGTCGGTGAGTGCTCGTCACTGGGCCACTTCAATCCCCTCCATCCTGGAGGTGCTTTTTTAATTTCTGGCCAAGAATAATTCTGCTTCCCCTCCAAGTTATCCCGTTAGCAGCGCGCCGGGTAAGCGTGGATTTTCCTGGGCGCGTCTTTCTACCCACCCGCCTTGCAGGTCCCCGGCTTCGATACGGTCTGGATTCTGGAATAGGCTATTGCAGAGGCCGCTGTGGATGGATGGAATCGACAGCCTGATGAGGGAGAAAATAAAAAAGATATCCCAGATTCTGATCAATCGGCGTTGCTACTGCATTGGTTCGCTTGCAGAGATCGCGCGTCTCCTACCAACATCAGCCCTGAATAACAGTCGTTCTTTTTGCTAATTCCGGCATTGCCTCCCTTTTCCACTTTGTTTATGCAGGCGCGACACTGATTGGTCATAGACGGCTGGTAGATTCTACCGAGCTCAGTCGACGATCTGATTGAACCTTTTCCCACCCCCAAACTTTAATGACAGGGTGCAGCTGTTCGGGCGTGGCTGTGTCTCATCCTGGTCAAAACAACCCCATAATCCACACCATGACAGGCTGGGCAAACCCCATGTGAGCTCGTCTACAGAGGTCTGGGTTCGATAGGTCCACTGCTTGTTCTTGTTTGCTAAGCAAATCAAAATAATAACCAAGGGGGGGAGGCGTGTGGTGCTGACGGGCTGACCCCGATTTGGTGAAAAATGGTCGGGTTATTCCTTCGCGTCTTGACGCCTCGCCTGTCAGATTCGGAACTAGTTTAGCTGGTGGCGCTGTCACTGTCTCTCCAGACTCGCAGACTCGCAAACCCGCGCTGGTTGCCCTTTTCGAGTGTTCTGGATGGACGCCCCCGCGTCTGAAATAGTAGCTGCTTATATCAGACGGTCCATATAGCTCAAGCTCATAGCCCCATACAGAATACAGTAGTTATCTATATTGTATTCATCTTATCGCTCGTCACTAGCTAGCTAGCTTGCTTACTGCTTACCAATGCTCAGATATCAACACTGTAACTAGTAAATCTGACCACGCCTCACCTACATCAATAAGAAAAAAAGTATACTCGAGCCTCATCATCACCACCACCACATCACCATCCCTCTGTATCTACAATGAACAACAACTTACTTCCCTTCCACACATTCTCTCCCCATTCCATGCATCAACCTCATCTGCACAAACCACATCCCGAAAACAAACCTTACCTACCTACCAAATCCCGATCACATATACATGCATACCACCTTCTCTGCTCGCCATGTATGTACTCTCTAACTTAAACTTTGACAGGCACCTGGGGGGCGTCTAGCCCCTTCAGCCAGCCAGCCATTTATGCCTCAACTTAACTCATTATGTAAACTCAAAGCTGCTGATGCATCTCTGCCTACTTCCGAGTTCGCTCCTAATATAAATAGATCTAGACGTGTGTGTCGGTGTCAGGCAGCGACGAGGCATCTAGTAGGTTTGCAGCTAGTTCATATATGTATATGTATGTGGATGTATGTGGATGTGGATGTGGTCGTCGTAAGTAGGTAGGTATGTGTGAGATAGATATGTATGGTGAGTTGGGTTGATGCAGCTTTTGCCACTGGTGGTGGATTGGTACTTTGCTTTTACAAGTTGATACTTAGTCTTCTACATAGATGTTGATTATCCATTCGCTTCTGTTAATGAGTAGTTGTGTGTATGTGCAGTATGCATAGTGGCAAAATCTTGATCATGCTGTATGATATGAGTAAGACCAGCACATCACATCACATCGCATCTTACTAACTGACTGTTTTGTTATCTGAACCATAAACTACTCACTCGCTAACACTAATTATAGGTTAAGCTTTTTGGCCATACTGTTCTGTTATCAGGGTATGTGGCGATGATGGATGGTTGGGTGTGAAAGAGCCGCATGATGATGCTGATAACTTATCTCATACTATGTATGTATGTGTGTGTGTGTGCGTGTGTGTGTGTATGCAAGAATAAACTTCACCCTCGTAGGACGATGATATATCAGATGAAGAGGAGGGTATACGAGGTGACAGGGGGCTTGGTTGGTTGGGTCGTCTTGGGGCGGTTGGATTTAGGTTTGGGAGGAATATAGCGTAGAGAGTAAGTTGGAGGGTTGGTGTGAGTGGTGAGGTTTGTAGGTGTAAGCTGTATCATGTTATTAGATAGGATTAGTTGGTGGTTTGTGGTCATGGGTTGAGTGAGTGGATCTGTAGATGTTGATGTAGGAGTATATACTAGTATAGTAGGTGACGGATTGGAGTTAGATTGGTTAGAAGAGGTGCAGTGGGTATGTAGTTGTTCTTACGGATTTACTTTGCTATGAGTATTTTTCAAATAGATGCTGATAATTCAAAGTTCATTATGTAGTAGCGATGGTAATAGCATACATTGTATACCAGATTGGGTGTGGAGTGAAGCTATTCAGACCAACCATATGCTATATAGTAACTACTATGAGACGGGGATTAGCATTGGTACAGATTGCCCACCATTGACCTCTCAACTATACTCCCATAGATGACCATTACTATTATCTCTCCCCTACACTCAAGTAAAATCAACATGCTGCTCCCCACAACGTACCTGAATACATTCATATCACATGACCCACTCCCTATCAACCCCTTATGTAATCACCCCTTATCGGAGATTTATACAATCCCCAATTAATCCTCAACTATCCAGGACCAGCTTCACCTCCAACCCGGCCCAATTCCCTGCAACCCACCAGAATCAGGCCCATCACAATGGCCGAACCACCACAGCATGACCTAGGCAATCAATACTACGTCCTAGTGACCGGCGCAAACAGGTACCCATCCCTCAATTGCACCCTCCCAACCCTACAACACCACCCACCAGCACACCCCTTCAAACCTCTTCCCCCCCGCAAAACAACCTCACAACCAATCTAACAAGCCAATTCCACCAGCGGCCTCGGCCTCGCCATCTGCGCACGCCTAATAACCACCTTCCTCACAACCTACCCACCCACCACCCACCTAACCATAATCTTCACGACCCGAAGCGCCAAAAAAGCCTCCTCAACCCTGCACCACCTGCAAACCCTCCTCCCCCCCATCTCCTCCCCCACCACATCCAGCAGAATAACCCTCCACCCCGAAACCGTGGACCTGTCCTCTCTCCCCTCCGTCCGCGCCCTCTCCACCCGCCTCACCCAAACCCTCCCAAAACTCGACTCCATCGTCCTCAACGCCGGCATCGGCGGCTGGACAGGAATCGACTGGCCGCGCGCAATCTGGGGAACTCTGACCGACCTCGTGCACAACGTCTCATGGTTCGCGCATAAGATCGCGCCCGTGGGGATGATCACCCCGCCTCAAACCACACAGCCTGAGGAGCCGCGCCTGGGTAGCGTCTTCACGGCGAACGTATTCGGTCACTACATGCTCTCGCATGGCGTCATGGGCTTACTTCGGAAATCCACGCAGCCGGGCCGCGTCATCTGGGTCTCGAGTATCGAGGCCACCGTGAATCATTTTAATGTGGAGGATATTCAGGGATTGAGGTCGACTGTGCCGTATGAGAGTTCGAAGACGCTTACGGATATTTTGGCGTTGACGGCGGAGACGCCCTCTACGAGAAAGTGGGTGGAGGGGTTCTACACCCCTCACAAGGGAGGTGATGATGTGGATGAGAAGGGTGGTGAAAGGGAGGGCAAGGAGCCACGCATGTATCTCTCGCACCCTGGCGTGTGTGGAACGGGGATCCTCCCGTTGGCGTTGCCGCTGTTCTGGTGCATGATCGCGTCGTTTTATATTGCCCGGTTGTTGGGGTCGCCGTGGCATACGCTGTCGACGTATGCGGGGGCGTGTGCGCCGACGTGGTTGGCTATTAGTCGGCAGGAGGAGCTGGATGCTGCGGAGGACGTGTATCGGGCTCATGGGGGCGGGAAGGTGAAATGGGGGTCGTCGTGTGATCGGTTGGGGAGGGATACGGCGGTTTCGACGGAGGTGGATGGCTGGGGTCATGGGGGTGTGGTTGGGGAGGCGGTGGTGATGGAGGATCGGTGTCGGAGGAGGAAGCGTGGAGCGAGGGATTTGACGGCGGAGGAGAAGGTCGAGTTTGAGGAGTTGGGAAGGAAGTGTTGGCAAGGGATGGAGGAGTTGAGGGTACAGTGGGAGGAGATTTTGGAGAGGGAGGAGGCTGCTACTGCTTAGTTTTGTGGAATAATGTGGGTGCATGGGTTCGGGCATATTGCATGTTGCATCTGTATCTGTATACTGCATCTATAATAGAGGAATAGAGTAATAGAGATAATAAGATTGTTTTTCTGATCCTGCCTCCCGTATTTACATTCCTTTAACCATGTCCACATACGTCATTAAAATCAAATAGAGTATTAGTCCATGTGCTCACCATCCCCCGGGGAAACAAGGTAGCAGAAGAAAAAGCCGGTAAATAAAAGAAGCAACAGCACTGGTGACACGCAGTCCGTCGGAGAAAGATGCGGGAGAACAAGGTAAGAGATCAGAGACCTCAGGATTGATTATAAGGGATGTAAGGATGACCCGAATCAGACACGCTTCTACCATCAAGGCCTCTAGCATGCGGACACGGACGAGCACAAGACGAAGGTAAGAATGGACGGGTGCGAGTGGGAGATGGTTCAGAGGCGTAGACCGCATTGTATCCAAGCAGCGTCCTGTTGTCTAGAACCCCCTCTGGGTTCTACACTGCTCGAAAGAGAAAGACACGATCAACTCCGGTTTCTATGCATCTGGTGACTTCAGTGTAGGTGGTGTATATCGAAGGTGAAGGGCATGTCGACGTGACAAAAGGATTACATGATGATAGCAGGAACTAAAGAGTTAAATTAGCAATGGGCCATGTGAATGTAGACAATTCACTCACCATCAACGTTCTGCTTGATGCTCTTGTGGGGCAAGATGGAACCACCGTTGACATAGACTTCGTCGGCGATGGTGACATCGTCACCCAGCACCGTAACGTTCTCCAGACGAGCCCAGCGGCCCACGGAGCTGTTCCATCCAACAATGGTCGACTTCACCCACGCGTGGTCCTTGACCTTGCTGTTCTCCATCAGGACACAGCGCTGCAGACGCACACCGTCACCAACCACCACATTGGGTCCAATCACCACGTTGGGGCCGATGCGGCAGTTCTTGCCGATCTTGGCGGAGGGGTCGACCATGACATTGCCGCCATACACGTAAGGCTCGCTATTGGGGGCGAGCAGCTTCGAGTTGCGCTTGGCAAGAGAGGTGAGGTAGAGGCAGGTACCGCTCAGGAAATCCTTGGGCTGACCAACGTCCATCCAGAAGCCCTCCAGGTCGAAGGAGTGCAGCTGGCCGTCCTTGACAATAGCGGGGAAGGTCTCCTGCTCGATGGAGGTGGGGCGCAGCTCGATACGGTTCAGCACGCTGGGGTTCAGGATGTAGATACCGGCGTTGATACGGTTGCCGACGAACTCAACGGGCTTCTCGACGAAGCGGTCGATGCGCGAGGGGTGGTTGGGCTTGTGGACGACGACACCGTACTTGGAGGGCTCGTCGACCTTGGTGACCACAATGGTACCCTCGTTGCCGTGGTTCTTGTGGAACTCGGCCAGCTCCTTGAAGGGGTAGTCACAGATAATATCGGAGTTCAGGACGAAAAACGGGCTGTCGTCCTTGCCCAGAATCTTCTCCGCCAACTTCAGGGGACCAGCCGTGCCGAGGGGTTCGGATTCCACAGAGAATTCGATTCTGACATTGTAGATCTCTTCGTACTAGGGGCGGCTGTGAGCATTCGCGGACGGCAATCCGTGCAGCTAGGGCAATTGTACCTTCTTCAGGGTCGACACCATAACATCGGGGCGGTAGTTGACGGCCAGGACGATATCTGTGACACCAGCAGCAGCCAAGCTCTCAACCTGGTGCAGGATCATGGGCCGGTTGGCGAATTCGACCAAAGGCTTAGGGAGGGTCAAGGTCTAGACAGCATTGAGAACGGTTAGCTTGTGTGCGCTTTCCCACGGCCCGGCCATGAATCGACTGGTATGTTCGACGTCACGATCGTCGGCGGGGGTGATCAACTCACCAGAGGACGCAGACGGGTACCGAAACCGCCAACGAGAATGAGGGCTAGATAGTCAAAAGTCAGCGAGTCCGAAGGAACAATTAGGTAGACTGGTACATACCCTTCATGGTTGCTGTAGGGAGGTATTAATTGTAGGGTAGAGTAGCGATCGGGAGGCTCGCTCCAAACGAATGACCGGAGCAAAGAACGAGTTGGACAGGTGGAACAAAAGCCCGCCGACGGAAGAGGGGGGGGTAAGTAAGGAAAGGTGGAGAGAGTGTATGAAAGAGGAGGGAGCAGTTGTTCCAACGATCCAAAGATGGGGACGTTGGAGAGATTAGATTGATCGATTGATTGATTGATTTGAAGCGGATGGTCACAGACGGGGAAGAGAAAGGAAAGGAAAGGAGGAAAAAGAACGGTCGGGATATAATATAAGAACGAGGAGGAGAAGGAGAGGAGAGGAGAGGAAGGCAGAAAGAGAAAGAGGAGACCACCTGGCGTTGCGATTCGGGGAGAGCGGGCCGTAATGGCTGTGTATGTACGGGCCGGTAAGTTATGGGCAAGTCAAAAAAAAGAGGTCACTGGCAAGACCCCTTAAACCGGCCAGTGTGTAGCAGAGTTACAGCCTTGTGACTTGAAGATGGCACTCACTGGCACTCACTCACTGGTACTCGCCAGGAACACCGGGTTCAACCTGCGCACGTTTGCGGCAGCGCCACTTCGCCCAGCAGGTTCTGCCGTTTAGGGTATAGTCGGGTATCGTACGGCCTAGAACCAACTAATCACTGCGGCGGGTTCAGGTGCCCCCAGTGGGGCAACAGTGCCCCCTGAATTATCTTTACAGCTCCATAAAATATTGTAGTCTTCATCTTAATTACATTTATTTCAACTAATTATTATTGAACTTTTTAAAATTATGATCAGTTATGAGGTTGGGGAAATTATGCCATTCTTGCTTCAGGTTACGAAACCTCGCATATCATGATCATGATCATGATAATATTATCAAGTAGACTTACATTACAGCTGATGCACGCACGATTGACGCAGTACGTGCATATACCCCTATGTGAATTTTATCGTCGATGGGAAAAAAAAAAAAAAAAAAAAAAAAAAAAAGCAAGAAAGAATAAAAAGACTACTAGTAACCCATCCAGAACTACCTAGTGCCATCACATTATCCAATGAAAGGGTGGCCTCATACTTGGTAGTAACTTGGCCACCGATGGCGTTCAAACTGTCGGGTTGCATTCCCTCTTCATTTTAGCACACAGCGTAGTACCTACCTTAGCGGGTTACCCAGAATGTATGCAGGAGGAATAAGCATCAATTCCATCCGTGTCTCCTGATCATCCAGTTTTCTTTGTTGCCGCCCTTTCCTAACAGCCCCCAGTGGTAGTCACCGGTTCATTAAGGCTGGTGGCAGGTTTCAGGAGCGCCTCAGAATTGCAGGTTAAACAAGGAACATAAAGAATCGAGAAATTAGATATATTAGGGAAGAATCTTAGTTCCCAGCCCATGTATAAAGCAGTAGGCAGCAGACCTTACTCCAGGCCATTTCTATATATAAATCATCACTCTCTGCCTGCTTGCCTGCTCACTCCTGCGTGTCTGGGGGCAGTGAATGGCCCTTTCCAGCCAAGCCACGTGTAAAAGTTCCCCGGCCCCCATCACCGCCTACCGGATCGAACACAAATCTCCTGATCCACTCGCGCACCTTGCTCACCTTCATCAGCGGCAGATCTTCCTCACGCTTGGCTGCAGGGTCTTGTTGAATATCCCGGAGTTGCTTCGCACTGTAGAGCCCGCCTGCTTCGGTTACGTCGACCCGCTGGCGGTGCAGCAGGTTAACCTTCGTGACCCCTTTCCTCAAACTCTGCCCGTATACCCGTTCCCGGAAGGAGCTCAGTCCTACCATCCGCATCAGAACAATGTCCCGTGGACGCAGCGTTGCCAGCGACACCCCCAGCGCCTCTCCTTCGTCGTCACCTTCCCCAGCCATGACCGCATGGTTCACAGGAGGAAGCCAGAACGTAACCCCAAACCCACTTCTTGTATCATCCCCAACCACCATCTCAACCAGATCCAGCTCTTGCTTCCATTGCCGCGTTACCACCCGCCGTGGAGGGTGGATGGCGATAATCGCCACAATCAGATTCACCGTCATCGTCTGCGGCACGATCGAATTCAGATACGCCGCAGTGGGGATATCCCGGAGGTCGGTGAGGGGCCCTTGGATCGGTAATCCTGGTGTTGGCCCGTCCTTCTCGCTGCTTGTCGCAAAAGAAGTCCCGGCCGATAAACCACTACTGCGCGTGGAATCTCCAGAGTGAAACCCCGGAGTCGAGATCTCCGAGGTTTCATGAACAGTAAATGAATGGTTGTAGAACTGCGAGAGCACTGAATCGTCCGGCTTTGTCCGCGATGTCCCATCAGAGCCTGCAATGTCCCGTATAGTGAGGAAGCGAGCATCTCGACCTGGCTCCCACCTGTAGATTTCTGGGAAAAGCCCTGGATTGCGTAGATCCTGCAATAGTCTCCATTTCACGGGCTGACCATCGGGGAAAGGCCAATGGCCTACGTCTTGCGTATCCAGACTATGAAATGGAGATATCGGTGCGTTCAGCAGCTCCTCTTCATTCCACTGGAGATTCCGCAACGTGGGCGCACCCATGAGGAAGATGGTCCGTTTCGACATCATATGTGTCGTATAGCGGGTTTCATGCCACGGTCATATTAGTTAGAATACCGGTCGCTGCTCTCTCCAACTTATCAATGTCAAACACGTTGCGGAGATCCGTCCAGATCGGTGAGGTCAAAGATAGAGATTGATTCAAAGGTGCCAAGAGAGGAAGGAGCATTAAAGTATCTAATCTGCAGCTGCGTTGTGAACGCGTCTGAAGGGCGTGTCCCGTTATATAGATAGTTTGTGACAAAGAGGATGCACCTTTGAGCTTGACTCTATGATGATGTTCTAGTCATCAGTATCCGATCTGAACCACGGGTTGTAAACAGGCAACGACTCATGTTGTATGGTACTGCGTATACGGTCCAGAAAGTGGATTGAGGATCGTGCGCGGCCATGATCGTCATGGCATGAGTACGGTTGAAGAAGTCATGACGCAGGTATACCAGATATATGGCCGTGTCAACAGCGGGAAAATTCCGGGAAGCTCTGGTGGTGCAGCCTTCTAGAACGCATCCATGCGGGCGGGGAAGTTTGGGGAATGGCGTGGAATTCGATGTTGCATGCCTGAGGCATACAGGCAGTCATCCTGGCTACGGGGGGCGACAGCAGCCGGCAGAGCACCGGGTCGGCAGTCGAATTTCGCCGCCGAGCAACGACCAGCCAAGCATCGTCATTGGTTTGGCCTCTCTTCTTTCCTCTCTTCATCTCAAATCTGTCGTCTGGTTGTGGTCGGGGATGGCATGTATCTTGATTAAGGATTGATCTCATCGTCATCGTTACTGTGCCCCACCCTCTCCCTATCGCGCCGAAGGGTTACTATCATCAACGTCGCGGCCAAGTGCCGCTTTAGTTCGGACAACCATGGCCTTCCAAGTCCCCTTCCCCAAGCCGGTAAGCCTTGCTATCTGTCCACGCTTGAACTTGCCTTCGCTAACTATTGACTCTCCGGCAGGGTCTTGCGGCCGTGACCTCAGATCTGTGGCCGTCAATGACACGGTTGTTTAATGCGCCCCGGAATAACGTCGAACACGCCTCCCGCTCCGGATATGCCGCCCCTCAGCCCTCCCAACGCGCGGTTGCGGAAGCAACCTCCACGGTATGTCTCCCTAGTCGACAGTATAATGATGGAGCTAGTGCGCTGATATACGTATAGGGATCAAGTGGTGTGCAGCTGCCGGAGTTCCTGGCTACTGTGTCTTCCGAGGCGTTGAAGGCAAGCATCTTGAGCAAGACCACTCAAAGCGGATGGTCTCGCTCCTTGCTCAATGGTATACATTTCCCTTCTTATGCCTGCCAGACTTGCTCTAACTTGACTTAATTCCAGGAACCACAATGTGGACCTCGCCGTCTCTTGCTACCCGTCATCTTGCCTCTCCCTCTGCTCGTTCCTACTCCACGATATCCATGTCCGTCATCCGTCTTCGCCACGCCCCCCAAGTACAAGGTCTCTCCCGGTTACAGCAACAGCGTTTTCTGTTTGGTGGTTCTTCTCACAATCTGTTGGCACAGAAGGAGAAGACTGCCAACAACAACCCTAGCAGCGCAAACGCTCAGAATGCTTTCTACCAGGCCCTCCTCCGTGCAAACCACCCTGCCATTGTCGTTGAACGGTACAAAAGCGGCCATTTTGCCACGAATGCGGCTACGGATGAACTCTACATGAAAGCCCTGCAACGCGTTGGCGGCGTGGACTCTGCGGTAGCGGTCCCTGCGTCCGGCCAGGCCGTCAGCCCCGAGCGGCTGCAAGCCATCGGTCAGGCCGTCGCAACTCAGTTTCACGGTGGACAATTCGGTTCTTCTACCCACTACGGTTCAGCAGTCAAGCAGACTGGCACTGGAAACAAGGAAGATCCTCTGCACGTGGTTGTGGAGGAGTCAACCGGAAGTGCTGTCTTCAGATGGGTCAAGTTCCTGTTCTATTTCGCCTTCTTCGCTTATCTGTCTCTGGTTATGATCACAATCTTGGTTGAAACGACTGGTGCCCTGAAGAACATCAGGGGCCCGCAGAACAGCGAAGCTCAGCCTCAGCAGCAGACTGTCCGTTTCAGTGATGTGCATGGCTGCGATGAAGCCAAGGAAGAACTTCAGGAACTCGTCGAATTTCTCACTAACCCCGATCGCTTCTCCTCGCTTGGTGGCAAGCTGCCCAAGGGTGTTCTCCTGGTTGGTCCTCCTGGTACCGGAAAGACTTTGCTGGCTCGTGCTGTTGCAGGAGAGGCTGGTGTACCTTTCTTCTACATGTCCGGCTCTGAATTCGATGAGGTCTACGTGGGTGTCGGCGCCAAGCGCGTTCGTGAATTGTTCACTCAAGCCCGCAGCAAGTCCCCCGCCATCATCTTTATTGATGAGTTGGATGCTATTGGTGCCAAGAGGAACGAGAGGGATGCCGCCTACGTGAAGCAAACCTTGAATCAACTGCTTACTGAACTCGATGGCTTCTCCCAAAGCAGCGGAGTGATCATCATCGCCGCAACCAACTACCCCCAACTCTTGGATAAGGCTCTCACGCGTCCTGGTCGCTTTGATCGCAAGGTGACTGTTGGTCTTCCCGACGTCCGTGGTCGTATGGATATTCTCCGACACCACATGAAGGAAGTCCAGGTCAGCATGGATGTTGATGTTGGTGTCATTGCTCGTGGTACCCCCGGTTTCTCTGGTGCCGACTTGGAGAACCTTGTTAACCAAGCTGCCATCTATGCCAGCCGTAACAAGCAAACCAAGGTTGGCCCGAAGGACTTCGACTGGGCTAAGGACAAGATCATGATGGGTGCTGAGGCTCGCAGCCGTATCATTCAGGACAAGGACAAAATCCTCACTGCCTACCACGAGGCCGGTCACGCTCTCGTTGCTTACTTCTCTCCTTCCTCTACGCCTTTGTACAAGATCACCATTGTTCCTCGAGGCATGGCCTTGGGTGTGACTCACTTCCTGCCTGAGATGGACATGGTCTCGAGAAATTACACTGAATACCTTTCGGATATCGACGTCTCCATGGGCGGTAAGGCTGCCGAGGAGCTCGTTTTCGGCCCCGACAAGGTGACCAGTGGAATATCTGCGGTACGTTTAACACCTTAGCTCAAAGTACGTAGTCACTGACATGTAATAGGACATTCAACAAGCCACTGAAACCGCCTTTACCTTGGTCACCCGTTTCGGCTACTCCAAGAAGCTCGGAAACGTGGACCTGTCGAGCAACTATGACAGCCTCTCATCGGAAACGAAGCAGGAGATTGAATCCGAAGTCCGTCGTTTAGTCGAGGAGGGTCGTGCCCGCGCTAGCAACATTCTGACTGAGAAGCGGGAGGAGCTGGAGCTCTTGACCAAGGCTTTGATTGAATACGAGACACTGACAAAGGAGGAGATGGAGAAGGTTCTGCGAGGCGAAAAGCTCGACAAGTTGCAATCAGCTCCCGCGGCGCCGCTGAAATTGCCCGAAGCCCTACAGACGGCCCGGCTACCACCTACAGTGACCAGCGGAAATTCCGTCCAGGAATAAGCGATCTTTTGCCTCTGATTCTCCCCCTTTTTTTTTACGATCATCGCCTGTTACAGCTACAATATCATAGGAATGTTTTGATATGCACCGCCTTCTTTGCTCTTATCCTTCCTCGTCCTCATGTGTCATACGTATCGAGAAACAACCCAATACCATCTTCAACCTATCTCTTTTTTTACCTCATTGATACGGTGGTCTTGAGATCATGACCATCACCTCAACAAACGCTCTGGTCTCTTCTCGTTTCTCTTTTCCCATTCTGACTTCCTTCTCGGCCCTTGTATTCACCGTGACTGTCCGTTTGCGTCTACCTTACCGTTTCTCCTCATCTCTTTTCTTGTTTAATCTCAATGCTTTGGTTCAAAGACTGGGTGGCAGGCATACAGGTGAATTTGGCACTATTGTATTATTTACATACGTACATATAGCGTGCATCGAATTCAATACGAACTTCACTTGCATGGATTTTCTCGACATACTAGTAGTTGGCATCTTCTCACTCGGAATCAGGAAACGAGAAGGCGTTACGTCCCATGTGGAAGAACAACGGCACCACCCTCTGAGTGTGTCGAGGACAAGGAGTCCATCCAGACCTTCCTGTACGCGCTAGACTAAGAGAAGAAGAACATCAATAGTAATAATACTCAGAACAACAAGATGCATTATTGCTACTCCAGCTGTCATGTCCGGTTAGTTGTTAGTACTACCAGTTTCATGCTACCATTAATGCAAGCTTACTACCTACAGACATATGATATAAACCAGAAAAGCCATGGTAGCAACACTACTACTTGTGAACAACTAACATGTAGCCAACCATCCCACATTATAGGATTCGGGCCCAGGTCGACTCTCCGGGCAATCATCCCTCGGAATTCAGCGCAAACCCATCATAAATACATCATTCAGTGACGAACTATCACAATCCAAAGACATTGAAGCCCACTAATCACTGCAGTGTCATTCGTTCATAGTAAATAAATAATCTATGATTCTTCCCGTGGTACATATACACCCCTAGAGATGATATAGACACTCTCCCCTGCTGACAGTTGTATCCCTTTTGAATACTATACTATACTATACTCAAGCAAACCCCAAGCCCAAACCCCAACGTGAAGCCACTACTATACAAGTTCTCTCTAAATAACCTACTACTATCACCCTTCAACACCCCCACCTCCCATCCAAGAGAAACATCTCATCACATCGCATCATCATGGACCCCAACCCCACCTCTCCCAACCACCACTACTACCACAGCCCCTACTACGCCCACCTCATCCAAACCAACAAATCCAACTCCGCAGGAGACTGGCACCGCTGGCTCGTGGCCGCAGCGACCCGCGACGACATGATAACTTTCTTCAAGGGGCTGACGAAATACTCCAAGACCAGCGGGGCCAAAATCACCGACGTGAAACCCATCCATCTGGCATGGTGGACGTTCGATTCTCCGGACGGATACAATATCCGGGAACTGGTGAAGCAGATCTACCAATTGAATCCATCTTGGTATGGGAACGTGGAGGAGTTGAATGATAGTCGGGGAAAAGTCACGGTTACGTTGTTGGATGATGCGGGGGGAAGGAATTGGCCGGTTTTGCCGTGTCAGGATGTTGAGT